TATATATATATATATATATATATAACTCCTAAAATTAAGGAGTTATTAATTTTTAATTTTTTTTTAATTAAATATAATTACTAGGAATATTTTAGATAATAAAGATAAAAATAGACTTACTATTAAACAAATTTTATTGACCGGCCTTCAAATTTTCCTTTTTTCTAAGGCTAATGTAACCCAATGGATCCTTCTGGGCCGAGCCACTTTTTGGACCCTGAGTCCACTTTAGGCCCACGAATTTTGGCGCCTACAAAACGAACGGTTTCCCGCCAAAAACAATATATCCCTCTGTCTGTATACTCGTCGATCATAAACACCATTCTCTCTCTTTCTCTCACACACACACACACACAGAAATACAGGAGCTAAAAGCATGGCTTCCGATTCTTCTCCAGCCCACATCCATGGCGGTAAATCTTTTTTCACCACATTTACATATATGTATATCTATAGAGTACATACACACACACACACATACACACATATTCAGCTCAATTTCCGTAATTATTTGTGTAATCACAGGACCTTCCTCACCCGATGACTCAATGTCAAGTCCGATCGGCAACACATTCTCATCACCCGGCGACCCCTCCACTCGACGGAAAAGAGGACGCCAATCAGCCACCCCGTACAAAACCCCACCACCTCCCCGATTCACCACCCCTGATGGAACCCCAAATCCCTCCTCCACAAACCCTCGTCAAGGCCGGAGAAGAGCTTCAACTTCCACTCCCACCGCCGTCACTCCTTCCTCCACCGACGACGCTCCACCTTCTTCCGAAGGCGGGGAAGCTGATGATGGCGACGACGCCCCACCGATGTATGTTTGGGGGACGAATATCAGTGTTCAAGATGTTAATGCTGCGATTTTAAGGTTTCTGAGGCATTTTCGCGAACGGCCTTCTGACATTGAAGGAAAGTACATGAGGGCAGTTCACCATGTGATTGAAATCGAAGGAGATTCGCTTGATGTTGATGCACATGATGTGTTTGATTATGATAATGATTTGTATACCAAAATGGTTAGGTACCCCTTAGAGGTTCTTGCTATTTTCGATATTGTGTTGATGGACATGGTTAGTCGAATTAACCCACTGTTTGAAAAGCATATACAAGCGCGGATTTTTAATCTCAAGGCCTCGACATCAATGAGAAATCTCAACCCGTCAGGTCAATTTCTATTGGTTTTCTATTTTTTTAGCAATTTTGTTTTACATTCATCTGGTGATTAATGGGTTTGCTTTGGTTGATTAGACATTGAGAAGATGGTGTCATTGAAAGGAATGATTATTCGCTGTAGTGCCATTATCCCTGAGATCAGGGAAGCCATATTCAGATGTCTTGTGTGTGGTTATTATTCTGACCCTATTGTTGTGGACAGAGGTAATTTATTTGAGCAACTCTTTTTGTTAGTTTGCATTTGAAATGAGTTGGTAAATATGGATGTTGTATGTTCTATGTTATCAGGACGAATTAATGAGCCAACGGTGTGCTTGAAGCAAGAATGTCAAGCCAAAAATTCCATGACACTGGTTCACAATAGGTGCAGGTAACATAGCCATTCAACTTAATTATTTGATTTGTAGCTGAGTAATTGGTTGGCATCATAATATAATTTTCCGTTTCTAGCAGCCTAAGGTCATCCTAGTCTAAGAGCCGAGTTTCCTTTAAAAGTTCATAGACATGGTTAATGTAACTTCTTAATCCAAATAGTGAACGCAGGTTAGATAAAACTTGCCACCTAATTGTAATAGGAATATATAGCTTTAGCACCTTGCATTTACGAGGCAGCAGAAGAACATCAAAAGTTGATCATTTTTAATAGCAACTCTTCATGGATAATTTATAACTTGAAGACACGATTGTGGTCTGCCTTTTATGCATTAAGCATGGAAAAAAGAGAAATTAGACACAGAAATGACTACAACTAAAATAAACCAATAGCTACCAGTGGTTGCTGTAATCAGCCTACTGGAGTATGGGCCTCCCCAGCCTACAGGTTCTCCAGAACCCAGAACCTTGGGAAAGCATACCAAGTCACTGACCATTGTGGGGGGAGCCTTTTTGCTCTTGTTTGTACTGCAGCACAGTGTGCCATGTGATAGCATTTTGATTCACTGAGACTTTATAGAAGGAATTTTCCCTACCTACAGCCAAATATGCCTCTCAAATTCTTCTATTTCTCTTGTAATACCAATGGATCCCTTGTTAATTGATTGCATTAGGACTTGATCTGCTTTATGCCAAGTAGAAAGGCCTGTCTAACTGCCCAAGCTTCTGCAGTCAAAGGAGGAGTGTGTTTCTATAGACCAGGGTAGTCCACCAATAAAATTGCCCTGTTGATCTCATGCTACCACTCGAATAACTCCTTTATTTGGTTTTGCTTCAAAAGCTCCTTCACGATTAATTTTCCCTCAATCTGATGGTGGTGCATTCCAGACCATATTCATGCTGTCACAGATCTATTGAGCACTGAATTGGCTGGGGGAATTCGATGGAGAAGAGTCCAATATTCCAAAGAATGAATATCATTATGGATAGGCCTTCATTTTCTATTTCCATGGAAGGATTATGCTGCATAACCTCCAGTATGCAAAAATCTATAACTATCTTGGCTTGTAAAACTTCTAAAATCATTTAAATTATGTTTTGATCTCAAATCTTCTGATGAGTTTATTAGAAATTACTTGTTTGAATTATGGGTTATGTAAATATCGATTAATTGGTTCTGCTCTAAAATCAGGTTTGCTGATAAACAAATTGTGAGGCTCCAGGAGACACCAGATGAGATCCCTGAGGGAGGGACACCTCACACAGTGAGCTTGTTGATGCATGACAAGCTGGTGGATGGTGGGAAGCCAGGTGACAGAGCTGAGGTGAGGCTAGATGTCATCATATTTTTTGTTTCTTAAACGAAAGATTTTTTTTTCTTGTTTTCTTTTTCCTGAGACTGAGTAGGCCGTTCCTCTCTCTACTTAGGTCACTGGGATTTATAGAGCCATGAGTGTCAGAGTTGGACCAACCCAAAGGACCGTGAAATCTTTGTTCAAGGCATGTCTTTGGCACTTACTTCCATTTTTGGAAGTTCTTTGAAGGTTACGTGGTTTCAAATTCATGATGTTTTCTTTTGATTCCAGACGTACATTGATTGCCTACATTTGAAGAAGACAGACAAGTCCAGAATGCATATAGAGGATCGGATGGATATTGAAAATGGCTCTAGTAGAAATGATGAAGAAACTCCTCTGGACTATGAAGACAAAGTACTTCGATTCATTAATGTCTTATCTGCCAGAATGACTGACTTGTATTTTCGACTCACATTCATCATTCGGAATGTAGGTGGAGCAACTTAAAGAACTATCAAGACAACCTGATATATATGACAGGCTAACCAGGTCTCTTGCACCAAACATATGGGAGCTGGATGATGTTAAGAAAGGGCTTCTTTGCCAGGTAGTATAATTGATTGGCTCATCAATCTCCTCACATTTTTCTGAAACTTATTCATAATTCACTTTGTTGATAATAAACAATGATTAAGTGCCCTGAATGTAGCTTTTCGGTGGGAGTGCATTGAACTTGACATCTGGGGCTAGCTTCCGTGGTGACATCAATATCCTCTTGGTTGGTGATCCTGGGACCAGCAAATCCCAACTTCTCCAATACATACACAAGCTATCTCCTCGTGGTATTTACACCAGTGGACGAGGGAGCTCTGCTGTTGGATTGACTGCTTATGTTGCCAAAGATCCTGAAACTGGAGAAACTGTACAATTCTTATGCTACAGTGTCTTTCTGTTTTTCAAATGCATTAATTTTATTCCAGAAAGGTCTCCAAGGAATTTTGACCCTTGAAAATACTTATTAGGTTCTGGAGAGTGGAGCTCTTGTTTTGAGTGACAGGGGCATCTGCTGTATTGATGAATTTGACAAAATGTCTGAAAATGCAAGGAGCATGTTGCATGAGGTGGACTTTGGTTTCCTATCTTCTTCAAGACAATTATGTATTACTTTTGATTTTTTATCTTCCTAATGCGAGACACTGAACGGTAATCAAGTCGCAGCAGTTTGTTTACATAGTGCAAAAATAGCATTACATTGATTTCTAGCATGCCATTAAATCATCACTGTAGCATCAGTTTGAAGATCTGAACTGCTTGCTTTTTTTTTGACCTCAATCTTTCCTAGGTGATGGAACAACAAACTGTTTCAATCGCAAAGGCAGGGATCATTGCTTCCCTTAATGCTAGAACCTCAGTGTTGGCTTGTGCAAATCCAATAGGTTCCCGCTATAATCCCCGTCTGTCTGTGATTGACAATATACACCTTCCTCCTACACTGTTGTCCAGGTAAGATGAAACCATTCATTTTCTATGCCACTATAAGATCAGTAAGTTTAATACTCTGACTTCAACTAAACCAAATGCAATAGCTTATATGACCAGACCATTGTTTTTGGTGTCCAACATATATTTTGGGTGCTTTGTTGTCCCAGTAGCCATGGGATAAAATAGTTAGGGTAGTGTTTTCCCCCCATTTTCTTGCTAACAAGTAGACTTCCAAGCCTCTAAGGGCAATGTGCCTGATCTTCTGGGGCACAGGTGGTCTTCCTGTCCTGCATGGACTTGTTTATGACCTGGATAGATCCCTGGGAGACTACCCTAAGGAAATTCAACCTCCGAATCTCTTGCTTCTTCAAGTGGACTCTTGGCCATCTTGTCTGCTCCTGGGGTTGGAAGGTTATGGACCTTATGGTAGTTTTTCCCTTTTTTGGGTTGTAATTTGGTCCAATGATTGTGATATCATTTGGAATGTTTAGATCAAGTGGTTATGGTGATAGGAAATATGTTGGCTAAAGGTTCGTTGTTATATCAGAAACCAATATTACATTTGGCTTCATTTTGACTAAATCTTTTGGGTTGTAACTTGGTCCAATGATTGTGATAGCATTTGGAATGTTTAGATTAAGTGGTGATGGTGATAGGAAATATGTTGGCTAAAGGTTCATTGTTATATCAGAAACCAATATTACATTTGGCTTCACTTTGACTAAAACTCCTTGTAATTGATTTTTCAGGTTTGATTTGATTTACTTAATTCTTGACAAGGCTGATGAGCAGACGGACAGGCGCCTTGCAAAGCACATTGTTGCATTGCACTTTGAGAATCCTGAGGTCTGAAGAATATTTTTAACCTCACTTGTTTTGTGAACAATTTCAGAAATTTTCACTTGTTAATCTGTTGAACTTTTGTTGACCGGCAGAGTTCAGAGCAGGATGTCTTGGATCTTCCGACATTAACTGCTTATGTGAGCTATGCTCGAAAACATATACATCCACAGTTATCTGATGAAGCTGCTGAAGAGTTAACACGAGGGTATGTGGAGATGAGAAGAAGAGGAAATTTCCCTGGCAGTAGCAAAAAGGTGTAGTTTTGTATACCAAATAGGTGCTTAGATGCAGATTAGGACTTTAAGCATTATAATTTTCAACATTCCTTTTCACCTTTCATCATCAACAGGTGATAACAGCAACACCAAGGCAAATTGAGAGTTTGATACGCCTCAGCGAAGCCCTGGCTCGGATTCGTTTCTCAGAATGGGTTGGTATAGCTTGCCTAGTGTCCAGCATGCAGGTGGAGGGATGATTTAAACCAATTATCGCTCTGATGTGTGCAGGTTGAGAAGCGAGATGTAATGGAAGCTTTTCGGCTTCTTGAAGTTGCACTGCAGCAGTCGGCCACAGACCATTCCACTGGTACATCTTTATTTCTTCTGTTCCAATTTTCCATCTTTTATTGACATGGAAGTTGTACCTTGAGCCATGGAGATGTAGGTATTTCCCGCCTTATCTTACTGGAGCACGTGATATTGTCCTCTAGGAAAACTAGTTGTCTACCGAGTACATACTTTTTTGGTTTGTAATTTTTGGTGAGGAATGAATTTTTGAGTGTTTCAAGATGAGTCTGTAGTTCTCCCAAGTCCCAAATGAAGCATATTGCACTTATGCTTCTTGGGTCCTTCCTTGTGGTTGCTCTTGCTCATTTAGCAGCACTGTACTCATCTTTTGCTGATTATATGCCCACTTGAACATAGAATATCTGACGGTTGGATTTCTTAACCAGGGACCATTGATATGGACCTCATTACGACTGGGGTCTCCGCAAGCGAAAGGATGAGAAGGGAGAATTTGGTATCAACCATTCGCACCATGGTTATGGAGAAGATGCAACTTGGGGGACCATCCACTCGCGTGTTGGAGGTCTGTAAATTTCTTTTTTCACATTAGCCATCTATAGTCTATTGTTCAAGCCAAAAGCTGAATTTTGCTGAATTTACCTTGTAGTTGCTGGAAGAGTTGAAGAAGCATAGTTCTGGTCCTGAAGTTCACCTCAGTGAGGTTAACCTCTCTCTCTCCATATGTGTGTGTGTGTGGTGAATGATAGTACTGATGGATTCCCCTTATTATGTTCTATCAGCTGCGCAATGCACTTGCTACTCTTGCAAGCGAGGGATTTGTGGTTGTCCACGGTGACAGTGTGAAGAGAGTCTGATGAGAGCAGATGACCATAGCAAGAGTCAGGACAAATGTACATCGTTGAATTAATCTCAAAGTTGATCCTTTATGCTAACCTGTTCACCTAAACAGCAACAACCGATACTTCTGCTGGGCATGGCTTCTATTTCCCAGATCGACACACAAGGTTGCTTAGGGTGATCTTCTTGCAGCTAAAAACAGTTATGTCCAGCTTGGAAATTGAATGCAGTTTGTAAATGGGTTTTTGGTTTTATTAGTAGAATGGTTAGATATGCAGTCACATACAGGTCAATCTTCATTGCTGAAGTTTACTTCTCTTTACATTTAAGATTGATCGTATTTGATATTTATACCCAATTGCTGGTGTTGTACTGAAATTTGTGCTTGGTTTAAAGAACTTAGCTATGCAATTAGATCAGGTAATCAGTAAAGACTTCTGGGATCTAGAAACTCCTTCAAACACTAATAATATTCAGGAACCAGCACTTTTTTTGGCAGAGGAATTATGTGGCAGGAGGGGAGCCAAACAATATTGTTGGTTCAGAAGCTAATCTAGGATGGTGGGACTATGGTTAGAACGCAGGCCTATACACAATGGCTTGCTTTCCTGATCCATGTGGACATTCATGCTTGGCCGGGTTCATATTTTGATAATGCACGCAAATGATGGATCTTATTTGCATTCATGCCGGATAATCTATATCTATATCAATATAAGTAATGCTATTCGGTCTAGTCTAATTTATTGATTTAATTAACTATGACTTTTACATTTATTGTGAATTTTATCACATTGAAATTTGATGTCGCTTGAATGATTTTAATGAAATCATATCATTCGAGTAACAAATTATGTCAAATTTTTAAATTTAAATAATATTATTTTATTTATATTGATTTTATACTATTTATAAATATTGGTACATGTGAAAATCTTTTGATTTTTGATTTTTTGTAATTATTATAATAAAGTCAATTATATTCATTTATATATTTTCATCTAATTTTTATTTTTTAGTCTTATTTGACTTTCAATTTGTTTTTGACGCTTTTATAAAAAATTTTAAATTTGTTTGAACTCATTTATTAGTAATTAAAAAAAATATATTAAATTATTATACACAAATAGGTATAATTATCAGATTTATATTTTTTTATTTAGTATATAATAATATAATAATATTATAAGTGATTTAATCAATATATGTACCAAAATAAAAATTAATAATTTTATAGTATATAGATAAGTTAATGTCTAAAAAAGTCGGAGAGATACTTAAATAAATGTCATATTAGATACTCAAAGAATAATTAAATTTAAAAAATAACTAAAAGATAATTAATTATTTGACATATAATTTATTACTTTATTTAATTACACATAAAATTCATATTTTTATAAAAAAATATTATTTTGCTAATTTTTTATATAAAATGAGATGTATTAAACAAATTTAAATGAAAAGTATATCGCATCGTTTTAGATTGGCCTTTGACGATATACTTTTGTCAATTGTCTAAGTCATACGGCAGAATTTACTATCAAAATTATTGTGCAACAAAAATTGATGTCATACCATATACCTGCTCTTAACTTGCGCATTTGGCCAAAGGAAACTTGAAACCTGTTGATTTGGTTCGATTCTTGCTTTTCTTGGATAGACTGAATTCATTGTGTTGATTCGATATAATCATTAGGGTCTCAATTAGATGATTTTCACAATTAATTCAAAGTCACGAGTTAGAACATCTGGTTGGTATAGTAGATCTATCAATCGTGTCAGATGAGAGAGATTTGTGTCAAATTTTATAAGTTCGTGTTGAAAAATATTTTACTCATACCTAATTTATTTATTAATTTATATATAACAAATCATGTTATATTAATTTGTGTCGTGTATAAATCTGAATATTTATCTAATATCTCTTAGAACAACTCCAACATACTATGTAAAAGAGACCTGTTAGCTATTTTAGATGGTCATTCCATAATTTTGTTGCTCCAACGGGTTATGTATATCACTTGGTATTACTTATAATCCAGTATTGGCTCATTGGATCTGGTGACCTCCAAGGCTAATTATTTCTTCAACAAAATATCGCTGAATTTGTGCAAAAAACATCGCTGCATAAAAGTTTCACAAAAGTTTAGTTCATAGAAGGTATCATCTTTATCACAGCAGATCAATCCACATAAGCTCCTCCATCATTTTTATCATCTCCAATATAGTGCTCTCTCTCTCTCTCTCTCTCTCTCTCTCATACACACACTCACACAAACTCCATCGTCTCAACCTGAGATATTTGAGTTGGGTTGAGAAGATCAAAAACTAATCACAATTTAGAATCTTTGGGTTATGTTAACAATTTTGGAGGTGGGTTTTGTTTTTGTGACTCTTGATATGGGGTTTTCAGGAAGATTAAAAATTGTGGCTCACTTGATTTGAGTTTAT